TAGAAAAAATAGTAATACAATAATTTGATTTTCCAAAACAATCTTTTTTTTTTAATTTCTATATTCTTATATTCTAGGACGTTTATAAGGGATATACCCTAGCTCAAGGATACCGGAGACTGCTAAGCACATTATCATAAACTGCACCGCCTTCGAGTCGCTAAGTGCCAAATTGCTGAGGGATACCGGTCTAGTCTATGTTCTCAGAGAGACCGATTTCTCTAGCTAATTACGGAAAAAAACTACCCGTATTACAAAGAATTTGTGTGCGGGTGAAAGAAGTAATCGGACCCGCACACTTCAACCTCACAAGAAGAGCAGCCGAGGGAGGGAGGCCGTCGAAAAAAGGAGGAGCGGAATATGACCATAAACATCAGATTTAAATATGAAAATTAGTCTCGCTGCAGAAGCAGGCAGTTATGCAATGACGTGTAACAACCCAGTTCAGCAAAACCCGTATTGCCTCAATGGCACGGTAGGGTTCAAATAAATAAATAAAAAGCTGCCACTGTTGACTTGAGATCCTTTAGAATTAATATTTGTTTAAGTTTCACAATACTTGTTGCGTGCAGGTTAACATAACAATAACTATTACAACCACATTAACAATAAACGTTTAGTCCTGAGTCAGGTGTTATATATGGAAGAAAATAACAACGAAAGGATAACAATGGTGAGAAAGTGCAGTAAAAAAATACAATTGTATTTTATAATTACAATTGTAAAACATTAAAACTGTATACAGATATATATATATATAGATAGATAGATAGTATTTTCAATAAATCGAAAACACAAATATTATTTCCGACAAACATATAAATATTCTTGCTGAGAAGTAATGTTTTTCACAAAATTCTTTATTTATGAATTAAACTGCTTATTCAGTATATATATATAAAGGATAGAGGATATCCGAATTGTCTGTAATGAAGAGGTGATGGAGGTGGTGACAGACTTTACTTATCTGGGTACGGTAATCAATAGGTCGGGAAAAGTAGATTCGGAAGTCTCAAACAGGATATCAAAAGCAAATCTACTATACGATATGCAATATCGTAATCGGAAAAAAAAAGAAATGGGGCAGGATACGAAGCTCCATCTGTTCAAGTCTGTCTTCCTACCGGTACTTTTTTATGTAGCAGAGGGTGGGATCCTGAATCAGAGGTCACAAAGCCGTCTGGAACGAATCGTGACCCGTACCCGTGATTACCGTACCCAGATAAGTAAAGTCTGTCACCAACTCCATCACCTCTTCATTACAGACAATCCGGATATTCTCTTGAGTTCTGCCGACTTGAAGTATTTTGCTTTTTTGGGAATTGATGGTCCATTATCTTCCTCTTCAATTCTTCATTCCGTTCCGTTATTGCCTGCTGAAGTCGCACGTGAGAATCTGCAATAACAACGTTATCATCTGCGAATAGGAGAAAATGTGCAACTACAGGAAGCAAGTTCCGATAGCCCATGTGTATTTGTGCTGTGCGCCTTTTGCAGATGGAGGCAATCTCATCCATATAGACAATGAAGAAAAGGGGGATCGCCTTGTTTCACTCCTTTTTCGAGACTAAACACTCCTGACTCTTTTCCATTCAGGCGCACACCCTTCGGATCTTGATAATCCGATTTCATTACATTTACATTTTTTATTGCGATGTTTTTGCCTTCAGGGATTCTCAAATTTCATTCCGGGGAACCGAATTGAATGCTGGCTTCAAGTCTAAAAAAGCGAGATAAATATTTCGGTCTCGGTCCCAGGACTTCTCTAACATATTTCTCAGGGTAAAGGTGTGATGATTTGTTTGCCTGTTGGGCCTACAAGCACTTTGCTCTTCCGTCGGGTGGATGCGATCCGATTTGTCTCCAGGAGAGCTTGATATTCTCTCTAAGATCAACGTCAAGAGAGCGACTGAACTCTTCCCATGCTTTCCTTAATCTGTTCCAGGCAACTTTGTAGGGAAGTGGGTGCGTTAAGTCGGCAGAAGCGATTCAAGACCAAATTCAGGTCAGAGACAAATTATTTTATTTCTAAATTTGACTTATTCCAAAACAAATAGTTTAAACCTATGCTGAATAAAACTATTCCACCTAGAGACCAAAAAAAAAACGTTTCAAACCGGATGTAGTCGTGTTTAAACGGCAGACGTAGGTAAGTTAAACACCATACTTTTTCGTTCAAACTTTTACTAATTTGATGATGGATGAAATTTATTCTAAATTATACTAGCATCCCATAGACAAAAAAAGCTGAAAACCAGAATCGCCCGCATTTCGCTGACAACAATGGTATGCATATGGCAGACGCGAGTTAAAAATCTACTTTTTTGTTTCAAACCTGGACCCATTTGAAGATGAATGAAACCTTTTCGAAATAAAACTTGTGTATCCAAAACCAATAACAACGTAGTCAGTCAATCCTAATGGAAGTGGAGTTCCCTAGGTAGGCGCGATTCAAGACTAAATAGGTCAATGACCAACTTTTTTTAAATTTAATCTGATTTATTCAAACATAGATGAAAACTTTTCTGAATAAAGCCCATTCAAAGATCGGAAAAATAAAATGATAATAATATTCGCGGACATTGATGAAAAAATAAAATCCGCCTACTGAAAGCGCCGCGTTCGTTGCAAACGTAATTCAAAAACAACCGTACTACCGCCAAAATTTTACCCCTAAGATAAATTAACATGAAATAAATGAGACTATTATCTAATACTGGGATAATTGTAATTCTTTATTATGCATCTATATTATTAGGTATCATATTTCTCATCTGCATGAGTTCATATCCTCTCAACCAGAATAACTTTTCCACCTCAAATAATGTCCGGCGAATGTTCATCTTTATGAAATAAATTCCTAAGCCTGGAGGCTAACAAAATCTGGAAGAAATTATTTTTAAAATGTTGACTTTAAATGAAGTATATTCAATTGAAAGAATTGTTTAAATGGTCAAAAAGTCTGCCTGATAGGGCGAGTATAGATTTTTTTGAAAATTTAATATTTTTTTTTTAAGAAAACATGTTGTATGAGCCATTTTTGAAACAAATCCTTTACAAGGAAAATATATTTATGCATACTTAAGCACAGAGATGGGCATATTTATATTCAAAAATATAAATACGAATACCATTTATATTTATGGTAAAAATGAATATATTCATAAAAAGTAATATGAATACAGAAGATACGTATTCATGGCTGTAAATATAAAAGTGAATACAGCTGGGCTGTAAAAGTTGATATTGCAGTATTCACATTTACTAAAATGAATATGCTTAAATTTACAGAAGTGAATGCAGATATTTTGACACAATCTTATTTATTTAAAAAAATATATTTATTAAATTGTTTTTATAAAAAATATATATTTACTATGTATCACGTTTTAATTTTATTTATAGTATTATATTCTTCGCTTTGCAATATATTATGTTAATTATCACTCTGAATGTTTGTACCTAATATAAATTCTAAACCATTTTTTTTTTTTATTGGGTCCAGAAGATGGGGCCTCTCCTGTACCAGAATGGAAAGCTTACCTCCATGATCCTACACTTACAAAGTTTTCGGTGCACTGTTTACTTATGGGCTGCTAATGGCAACAAAGATAAGTTTAATGGACGGACAGGGTATGTAAAATACTCGGAACAATACCCAAGAAATTCCATTGGGGATTCGAAACGGAGTCTGTTTAGCAGGCTCTTGCAATCTGGACGATAGGGATTTTTTTTCACGACAGTACCGGCTCTTTATGAAATTCCAATATTCTCACCTACTCAGAACAACAAAGGTGATGCCCCAAGAATTCACTTTTACTAGAGTAAATACAAAGGCTCCGGAATTTATATTACATACAAACATTGCAAGTGATAATTAACATAACATAATTAAAATATATTGTAAAAGGATGAATATAATACTATATATAAAATAAAATGATATATATAGTAAATCTAGTTTTTAAATAAATAATTTAATAAATACATTTTTTTTTAATAAATAAGAGTATTCATTAATAAGGTTGTGTGAAAATATTTGCATTCACTTCTGTAAATTTAAGTGTATTTATTTTAGTAAACGTGAATACTGCTGTATTCACTTTAACAGGTGTAAATACAGCCTTGTTCACTTTTACAATGTGAATAGTATTTATACTTACAGCCTTGAATAGGTATCTTCTGTATTCATATTACTTTTTATGAATATAAATATATTTATTAGTACCATAAATATAAATGGTATTTGTATTTATATTTTGGAATATAAATATGCCCATCTCTGCTTAAGCAAAAGTATTAGATGAAATATAATAAATTATTAAGCATCTATATTATTAGGTATCATATTTCTCCATGTGATTAAATTCCTTCAGAAGGTAAAACTAATTTGTCAAGGAAAAGAATCTATTAAACACCAAAAAAGACAATTTGTAAAATCAAAACTTGTTATGTCGAGGAGAAAGGACTCAATTACTTTTACCTATATGCATTAAGTTATTTGAAAAAGCAATAAAATTGATTAATCATAATAAAACACGATGTTATGAAACTGCAAAAAAGCTTGGTAACAGACCTTAAAGAACTGAGAGGAGGTTTTTACACTTGAAGGATTACAAAATATTCATCTTGGGACTATTCTAAACAGAAGTGCCCAGAAGAGGGTTTGATCAAAAATTTTGAGAGGGGCATATTTTGTTTTTTTTATTTTATTTTTGATGGTGGCAAATGCAGAAAGAAAAGTATTTCTATAACAGACTACACTATTTCTTGTTGGGATCTTCTCCCACTCCATAAAAAAACAATAAACATACTAATTTTTATAAAAAATGAACATATATTTCTATGGTCAGTAATTTTTATTTATTTTAAATAACATTTTTTATATTACAGTGTTAAAAATATTAGTTAACAATAGCAATAGTAAATAAATAAAAGATATCAATATTTTAATTAAAACTTATAATGCACTAAAATAATGAGAAGCATTAAAGAATTTTGGTTTATCTGCAACAAATCAGTCCATTTTAAAAGAATTGAAGGTATTAAAATTATTTATAAAATAAAAAAATCTGTTAGAATCACATTGTTATTCTTAGTATTGACATTTAAAACAGTGAGCATTGTTTATATGTAGGGCAGGTAAAATATAAAAACAACAAAAGTTACAGAATAATTTTTACATAACAAGCGAAAAAATAAAAAAAATATTATTTTAACTAATAGATTTAAAAGGATAAATATATCTACATATAATACATGCAATCATATTAAAATAATTTATAAGAATTCTCTATTTTATGTTCTTTATTTACAAAGCAATACAATAAATAAAATACACATGACAACTTTTGAGTGACATGGTGAGTTTCTTAAGGTATTACAAAATTTGAGAGTCCATCAGAGTATAATAGTCAATAGCACAACTTATTTAATGTGCTACATGACCTGTCACTTCAAATATAATTGGACCACCCCTTTAGTAATAGGAATTCTTATTAACTGTTTCTGCTGTTGTCATGAAGATCTGGTCCATTGCTTAGATGTACTCCTTAACTGAAATATAATATTAAGTAATTAACTTACTTTTAAAAAAAGAAGAACAGATGTGATAAAATAAGAGTGACAATAATACTATTTTCTATTAATTTATTGTAAATACTAAAAAGGTTATTAAATTTTACAAGAGACAATATATTACAACAAATAGTTTTGTTCTAAATGCAGGAAGTAGAGTAGCTAAAAAAACTTAAGGCACTCTGCTCCTATTCTCCCAGACTTGGGTTTGAGTCAGAAGTGTGATAGATAATTATTTCAATTGTTTTATCAGCCGAAAGATCCTCCTAGGGCATGTCGAGCCTCTATGAAGTGTCTACCCTTAAGTGGAGAAAAAATATAGTGATTGAGTCAGCCAGTGGTAACCTAGTGCACTGAAAATCCTTGTTTGTGAGTGGAAAAAGCTCTAAATATTATTTTTCTAATACACTGTATTTTCATGAATAAAAAATAAAGACTTTACTTTAGTTGTTTGGCAATAATAACTTATAATTGGTAACAATTGAGTATATTTTTATTATCAACATTACATGTTAACAAGTTAGTTGACGTTTCGGGATAATTATTCCCATCTTCGGAACTGCAATCCCAATACTCTTGTGGATGCAAGGCTAAAATTTTTTTGAGTTATAGTATTGTGCTTGTTACATTACATATTTGAATTTTATTGTTACAATAAATTTGTAATTACCTTAAATTTAATAATAATAATGTGCTCCATCGTCAAATTTCTAATTCATGTTCTAAAATGTATCATCTAGAGCAACATCCTCCTTTTGACCAATAAAATGACAACTTTCCAGAAAAAAAGAAAAAATAAAGACTACAATAAACTGAATTAACATTAATAAAAACAATACCAATAAGAAAAAAATGGCTTTAGTTTTGTACATAAATTGTTTTTCATTCAATATTCAGAGATATTGAAGAAAAATGATCCTTGATCTCTACTTTTTAAGTATTTTGTACAGGACACTTGAAGAATTGACATTGATTATAGACAGTTTACAAAGAAAACTTCGGAGGATTTTACTTACTATTTTGTCTAAACTGACTGAACTATATGCCAAAGGAGGAATATTTGCAGTTGTATTTTTCAAGATAAGACTGGAACAAGAGTTTGTGTCAACTGAAAAATGGGAAGTGATTTGTTGTGAATTAGTCTGACTCAACCACATTTAGAACAGTCTTATAGTCTTTATAAATGATATATTAAGTCTGAGAAGCATACCTAAATGTCTGTCAATGTGACAATAATAACCAGTATGTTGGTGTATTCCAATCATGATTGCTTTACCATGGATGAGGTTTCTGAATCTGAATTATAAATAAAGACAACCAGACCACAATAACCTTGCTAAGACATTTAGTATCTCACAAAATGATTCTACCAGATCCTGACTACCTTTAATCACTTTTGAATCTTCGCTAAAACTCGTTGAATTAACCTTGGGATTCTTTGTGTAGGTACCCCGAGACTTTTATGAAAAATAAAAAAAATCGTAACAACTTTTACCTTTCAACGTTCTCCAAAAGTAACCAACGATTTTACCATGATGGAATAAAAATATTTCAGAGGCTGTTGTTATGACTCTTTCATTGGGATTCTCCTTAACGAAACTGATGCCTCAAAAATTGTTTTGAGTACCACATCATTAAGCTAACATGGACAATCTGTATCTTTCTTAAATAAATGCTTCTCAAGTATCTATTATGAGATGAGAAAGTAGAGATATCATTCAACAAGTATACCTTCTTGTTTTGTATTAGTAGTATAAAACTTTAGTCTTTAGAATGGAGTTAAATATTATACTTAACTACACAAAAACTAGATAAGTCCAAAAGTTTTCTCATGTTAAATAATTATTGTTAAAATTATTGAAAAATTGGTAGATTTAGTTATTGCTAATCCTTCCAGAGATCATGAATATGATGTTAAAATTTATTAAAGATTGATTCAATAGTTTTCATCGTTAGTGATTACAAACAAAAAAAGCCTCTCTTTATATATAAGCATATATAAAAAGTGTGTAAATTGGTCCAGTAGTTTTCGCTCTTAGCAGTTAAAAACAAAAAACGGGCTCTCCTGTTTAATAATATCATGATTATAATAAAAAACAAAGTGTCTAGTAACTATTATTATTATTATTATTTATAAATGTAGATCAATAATGTTGACATATTAGAATAAATACTGAATGTACTCCTAATAAGAGACAAAGGCAGGGTTAGGGGCACAATAGGTCACTAACCTACTTCAGAGCGAGAATGAAATTTATACTGTGGGTCGGTTACATAAAATAAGTCTACCCTGTACAGCTAAATCCATTTTAGGTCAATTTAACCCCTGGGATCTTATGTAGGTGTAGATGCATGTGTGTGCAAATATATAATTTTACAGGAATAAAGAGAATATAAAATGCTATAGCTGAAAGATACCTTCTTATGATGGAAGGAGGATTCCATTAGTCAGAAAATTAACAAATGCACTCCAAATGCATAAACCGTGTTCAATGAAAGTTCGTAATAAACCGTAAATATCCTTACCTAATTCTGAAAATAAATTAAATAATCAATCAACAAATGATAAGAATGTCTGAAGAACAAAAATTTCCTACTTTGTTAATCACCAAAACAACACAGAAAAAACTACCGCAACCATCTACAATATATTTTCAACATGTACTTTAAATCATCCAAAGAAATGGAATAAATAAACAACTAAGGAATACATTAAACAACTGAAAAAATGTTAATTTAGATTACAACCAATTACTTCATAGTAAACTAGATTAAATTTACATTAAACGCAAGTAAATCTTGTCTATTTTAAAACCATTTAAAGGGGACTTTTAAGCAGTTACACTATGGTAAGTTCGGTTTTTCATAAAATCAAGGATTCTTTGCGATTCTTTTTATAAGCCCCGACTTGACTGAAGATACCACACTTTCAGAAAAACTTCCTTGTTTGATGAGCTTTAAGGCTATATTAATTAGGTTCTTGTTTGTTACAGAGTAAGTTGAGATTAATTCCTAATTGAGCTAAAAGATGTAAAATATTTTGGTCGATTCCTAATTTTACAGTAGTAATAATATTTTTATTCAATTAGAGAAAATCTAAACCTAAATTAAACACTTTTTTGGTGTTGCTTTTTATTCTACATAAAACATGGTTGGTTTAAAAATTACTAAATTTAACTTTCCTGGTTCTCTTTATGACTATGGTTTATGGTAACCTTTTAAAAGTTTTAATGTCTTCTATTATCACATATTATCAATTATCTGAAATTAATGTCAATCTAAACTTCATATTCATTATCACAAAATTCCATATTGATTGATAGCGAATATGATTCTGTTGTCAATGACTTTTTAGAATCATTAAAAGAAACTTTGAATAATAATCTGAATGATTGGAAATGTTAAAAAAACTAATTAAATTTCAAAAAGGCAGCATTAAACATCAATTTGGTGGTTTGAAGCAATTTTTGCTTTAAGTGAAAATACAATAAATATAATCTCAAAAATATATATGTAACAACTAAGTTTATCAAAAAAAATGTATAGGATCATTTTTTATAAAGACATTAAAGTACTTTAATATTGTACTGAACAATAAAAAAAACCTTATAGTTTTTGAGATATTCTAATAAATATCAGTTTTCTGACCTCCTCTGCCCCCTATCAAAACCCAACGTGGGATTCTTTGACACTTTTTACCAGTTGTTATGGGAAGAGTAATAAACAATGTCTGAAAAGTTTCATCTTTATTTTTTTATGTTGGGATAAGGCTATTTCTCCCCCCCCCCCTAACTTTAGTGGACTACAAGGGCCTGTCAGGATCTTTCTCTTTAAATGATGGGATACTCAGTGATGAATTCTATTTTCGAACTATCTCGTGGCCTTTTTATCAATTGTATTGAAGCTAGATAAAAATCAAAATGAAAAAGTTTGATACAATGCCCGCCCTAAATAAAAAGATTAAAGTGGTTAGTAGTTAAAGTATTCTGTCACAAGAACACTCGGCTAATGGCGTCCGTATTACAAGTAATTAATATGGATTCAAACATTATAATACAAGGAAGTTTTTCTATAAGGGTAGTATCTGGAGTATAATCAGAGGGTGATAACAAATTATTCATGATTTTTTTTTTTAAACAGAACTTCGGTGCTTAAGACTATATTACACCTGTTACGAACTTACATTACATTAAATATATTTATTTTTTGATTGTTATAAAAATGTCCTCAAATTTAGCTGTTTTACTACAAAGCTTTAAACAGAAATGAATCTCATAACAGCTATATTAATAGAAGGCAAAGTATTGAGAGAAAAATTGTCATCATTCGATTGCAATGAAAATTCTTATTTAAGGGTTTAAGGGACTTCTAATATCAGCTTTGTACCACAAAAATTTATTTGATAGTATCTGGATGAATATATTGTGTATATCTACAACATACCAGATTTTGTGCATGTAATCATAGTTTAGATATCCGCCCAGTTTAGAAAAAAAAATTATATTTGGCATATAACTAAATTAAGAGTTGAAAACACTAAATTAGAACAACTGGGATCGTTACTTCTGTATCTACTAACTTAGTTGATTTTGAATAAATATTTTTAAAAATGACCTACTTTCAGCTTCTATCATAATGCTCATCATCTTAAAAATTTTGTTTCATTCTTTCGCTAGGTAGCAATTAGTGTTCTATTGGGGACTTGAAAATTAAGTATAAAGATTTAGCTGCTTCTAAATTAAAGACGAGCATGCCTCAACCTATTCAGTGTGTGATATAAAGGTTTTACTTTTTTTAAATTCAATTTGAAGTGACTCAACAGTTATATTGTTGTTTATTTCCACGATCTAATTAAAGAAGGTAAGAAAATCAATTTTCTTTTTTTTCTTTCTTTCGTATTGTAACTACCATTTTAGAGACAGCTGATAGATACCTTTAATATCAATATTGACCAACCAATTATTCAATATTGAAACATAACTATGTTATGACTGCAATATTGGAACAACTTGTACTGACCAACAGAGCTAAGTTGGTTTAAATATTTTTTTAAGGAAAAACAAAATTGGTATTTGTATTTCGCACCTTGAAAAATTCCTAAATACAAATGTTTATAGCAATGGAAAAATAAACATGTTTTGTTTGAAATTTTCGCCTTTAATGCTTTCTCGAAAATCACAAAAATTAGTATGAATTTATAGCCCTATTAAATAAATGAAATGACACAATCCAGACACATATAAATAAACTAGGATTGGAGATATAAAATAAAAAACGTTTGGGCCATTTTTCTTTAATTATTCCTCATAAAGGCATACAAAATCTAAAAGTTATTGATATGGTTTTAAAGAAAAATGATTGAGCTTTCAAACGATTGTAGTAACCTTGACATTAGGAGAAAATCCTGAAGAACTATAAAAATTGATATTTTTTTGTTTCAAAACAAATTCTAAATCCTAAGAGTTTAAAAGGATGTTAAAAATGAATCTAAATCGTTTTTCAAGACAAAAATATACTTGGATTACTTCACTTCACTAAAGCGTCTTTTGGTTTTTGTTGTTTCTTAATACAATAAAATTCATTTAATACAATTAGCATTATGTTTTTCTTACTTTACGCATAAAAAAAATTATTGTGATATATAACAACAGAAATTCATGTAGAACAATGTCATAAAACAAATGTGTTAAGTTTTGCATTTAGAATGTATGGACATTGATAGCAAAACTGAGTCTGTTTCTTTAGCACCGGCTCTAAGAAAATTAAGGTTTTCTGTACGAGTCGCGTAGAATGTGACTTTCATTAAACGATCAAGTAATGATATAAAAGTGATTTCACAAGAAATAAATAAAATTTAATTCGGTTTGCGTTTTATGTTTAAAATGTTCTGTGTAATTGATAAGTGACTTAAGCACTAAGTGATAATTTCTTTTTACAAGAAGACATTTCTTTTTAGTTTAAACATTTAAAAATGTAACATTTACCAGAGTAAGTTCCAAATATATTAATTAATGTAATAAATTGTATTAAATTTTTATTTTTAATAAAAAAAATTGTAGAAAGTGATTAAAAAACAATAAAAGACAATTTATGATACTTTTATTTTGTTTTAAAAATACCACATACTTTAATAGCATATTATTTTATTTTATTTATTTATTAGTATTATGTTTAAAATTTGCGAATGTGCATAGATGTTTATATGTATATAAACACACATATATTCAAATCAGTTCTGATTAGATCAATTCAAATAATCTTAACAAATTCATAATTATAATTTTATGTTCAATAAAGTTAAACATTTATGTATACATCATTTCAAGTTAGCAAATACCAACTTTTTAACATTATTCCAACATTTTTTAAGAGATTTATTTAAAAAAACCCTTACTGTTCAGAACTTTATTTACATTTTTGCAAACCTTTTTTGATTTATTTTGGAAAATCACTAAAGTAAAAAATAAATTAATATTTATTTAATAAATAAGAGTATTCATTTATAAGGTTGTGTGAAAATATTTCCATTCACTTCTATAAATTTAAGCATGTTCATTTTAATAAACGTGAATACAACTGTATTCACTAGTACAACTGTAAATGCAGCCGCATTCACTTTTAAAGTGGTGAATACGGCCGTATTTATATTTACAGCTGTGAATACGTATCGTCTGTATTCATGTTTCTTTTTGTGAATATGAATATATTCATATTTATATTCAAAAGTGCCATAAATATAAATAGTATTCGTATTTCTATTTTTGAAAATAAATGTGCCCATCTCTGGTTTAGAATTGATTTATTTGTTATTCATTATTTAAGATAATGAATAACATGTTTTATAAAAAAATAAAACATGTTCAATAAACCACAGAATATGAAAATTCAATCATATTCCACTAAACAAAAATATTGGCATTTCATTTACTTTGACTTTTAATTCTTATGAATAAAATAAGTAGATTTTTGTGGTTCAAGCAATTTAAAAGTAGGCAAAAAGGAAAATGAGTGTTTATATTTCCAGAATTTTCATTTGCTTTTCCTCTATTTACGATGGTCTAGTATTCTATTTATTAATTAATATTGTTTTTATTTTCAGGCCTTTAAAAGCCATTAAACCTTGATTTTGACTATTAAGAATATTTTTAAATGATTTATTTGTTGGACAAGTAAGAAAATGGTCTAAAAGAAAATGAAAACATAATAAAAACAAATTTATATATAATTTCGTTAATCATTGTCCTTAATAACTAATTATCCTAAATTAATTAACAATATTAATACAGGATAAAACTGCAAGATTCTGTTTTTTTATTTCCAAAAATTTACTATAAATTTAATAAACTGCTGATGATTATTTAAAGGGGGAGAACATTTTATGATACTAGGAAAAGGCAAACAAATATTAATTTAATTAAATAATACTATAACAATTGCATTTGAAACTTACTAACACTTTAGGCGACGGACTTCCAAATATTATAAGATTCTTCTTGTCATTTGTCGCGTAACAGAGGAAACTTCTTTCCCAGGGACTGCAGTTCTACTGAATTTTAATAGAGTGTTTTAGTTCACAAAAAAAATATTAAACATATAACAATACAGCAATCTAACAAGGAAAAATGGAAGAAAATACTAGAAGAAGCTATCTAAACTACAAACAAAAATAGGTGTTTAAAAAAGAAAGCTCCAATAACGGTAAGTAAAAAACTGTAAGTTTATAAAAGAAAAATAATTAAAAAGGATTTTGCACATTCATTACTCTAAATAAGGCAATTGCTAAAAAACACTGAAGGAGATAAGTACCAACATATTTTAAATAAATGATTAATACCAATATTAAAATACCATTAACATTGCCGAGTCATTAATATAATAAAGAGATATGCTATATATACTAAAATGCTTGGATTCAAAAGATATAATGTAAGTGATTTGAATTATGATAAAATTAAACAAAGGATCAAAGGGAAAGGAATGAATGGGAACATCAAAGAAATGAAGAAAGTAGCCAAATTACAAGCCATGAAGAAGTGCTAAAGTCAGGTTTGTAATCTTCAAATAATATTTGAACAAATTAGTTTGGTAAAAAACATTTGTAACAGATTTAGTTTTCTAATTGAAGAAGATGAGATCTGGTCTTTAACCCTTTTTCAGGCAAAAGTAGAAATAATGATTGTTTTCTCAACCTTTTTTCAGAATTCAAATTCTAGCCCTCCCTTATGCTGAAAAAACACTTGAATAGGGAATCCGCCCATTTCTATGGTTTCTATGGTCGTAACAAAAACTGGTGTACTTTAGTCACCCATGCCAGGTTCATTAATTACCCAGCAGAGTGACTGAGGTACACCATGCCAGGTTACTATAACGTTTGTTTGCTAGGTAGTTAAATAAGTAAAAGAACTCTCAAACCTAATTTTTAACTTTATTAGAAAAAATAAGCTAATAAACTTTGAATAAGTTGTAAAAATCACCAGCCTTTTAAATTTGTACTTTATAGTTTAATTAAATCATTTTCAAGTCTTACCATTTCAATATCAGTCTCATTTCAAAATCACAATTTCACTTACTTTCTTGAAAAAGCAATCAATTCTCACCACCAAAACCAATAAGGAACTCAAGAAAACTTAAATAAATCACAAATGTTGAACATAAAAAATGAAATGCTACTTGACTGCTTAGAAAAAAATGCTGTCTATAAGAGTTCAAATAATAGTTTAGGAATAAAATTCAAAGTCTTCCGTGGTAACTGAGGTAACAATTTCGTTTAGGCACAAAACATAGCCTTTTATCACAAATTTCACAGTACACAGTCGTCTGGTTTTTATGGCACTCTCTACATTTTCCTTTTTTTGTGTATGAAGGGAAATGTTGGACTTCAGCTTGACTGCAGTTAGCTTTTGGAGAGAACTTCCCTGTGCCAGACACTGATGGCGAGGACGAGCGGTCAAATCCGTTTTTTAGGGACTTGATGAAAAGCGATTTGGAAGCACCTTTTTTCCTTCTGGTGTCCCTTATGAGCTGTTCCGCAATGTCAGCTCTGAAATCCTTCAAAGACAGCGTACTGGTGTTCTTTTTTTTTTCTTTTTGGCTGGATCCAGTATCATCATTTGTCTCCATGTCAGAGCCTTTCTGGACATTCTTGTTTCTCCTGTACATCAACCACGCATTGTCCGTGCAGATATCCAACAGCTGGGCGAAGAGTGGCAAGTACCACCGATGAGACCTGAAGGGCGTCCTATACAGAGAAATCAACATGTCCGAGAGATCCACACCTCCCATATGCCTATTGTATTCTTTGACAATCTGTGGGCAATCAACTTCAACCTTAGCACGATCTGCTTTTGACCATCTCAGGATTTTCTCCACAGAGTCGGCTGAAACGAAGGTGCTCGTCAGTAGTACTGGTTTCGAGTCCATCCACTGGATAAGTGCAATGTTCTTCTTATTGTCGCTGTACTCCTCGTACCATCCTCTTCCCTTCTTCTTTATCTCCTTCTCCGATAATAAAGATGCCTTACTAGTTCGATTGGCTCTTATTGTACCCAATGCCAGAATCCCGAACTCTTCACGGAGGTAAACCATCATACTGAGAGAGGTGAAAAAATTATCACAGAAGACAGTGCTCAATGGTGGATCCTGAATAGATTTGCACAAAGCCAAAACGATCTGGGCAGAGAAGGACATTGCTTCTTCTTTTGGCGTGAAATCAATTCCCCTGAAAGATGAGCTCCCACAGTATGGAAAGAAATCATACACGATGCCGGAGATGCCTGAACGTACAAATAACTTAAATCCCCACTTGCAGGGCTTCTTTGGCATGTATTGTTTTTTGCTGCCTGCCTTTGACCCTTTATAAGGCACCATCATTTCGTCCACACTATATTTCTTTTCAGGAGGTACGTTTATACAGTTTCGACGGACAAGTTCGGCGATGGGACGGATTTTGAAGAAAGGGTCGTCATCCTGATCTTCATTGTTGGCGAAATGAATGAAACGTCTAATTTTCAAGAACTTTTTGAGAGACATAACGTCCGCGCTAGTTTGCTGCCTGAAGCGTCTACTCCAGAAATCAGTGATGGCTGGTAAATCGATTATGCCCATCAGGAATTGAATGCCAATAAAACCTTTTATGGCATTTTTATCAACATTCAATGGCGTCCCAGATAGCTGCATGCTATATAGATTGGTTTCGTGAACGATAAGATCGAAGCATTCTTCAGAAAAAATAACCAATAATAACCAAATAATAAAAGTCACCATGTAATACAGTAGTACATGAACCAGGCAAGGTGAACTACAGTCAACTTACTATGCTCTACATGAACCAGGCAAGGTGAACTACAGTCAACTTACTATGTTCTACATGAACCTGGCAAGGTGAACCTCATTCACCCTACATGGCAACTCATGAACCTGGTACGGTGAACTACAGTTCACCCTTTTTTTTTTTCTGGTGTAAACACATTTTCAGCTGTTTTTCAATTCCAATAGACATTTTCTATAGAAAACCATATGTAAAATTCGAATTTGCTATCTAGAACCCTCCAAAACAAATAAAAACTAGCTAAAAATAGTGTAAACTTTCCTTCTTTCCGTGAAAAGGCATCTTGGTGAACACCATGAGGAGGAATAACCTTTCCATAAGTAAACCGTATAAAACACAGTTGCCAAGCGCATGATATTTTGCCAACATGATAAATATAGTAAAAAACCACAGAGCATTGGTGTTGAAGCTGAAAAATTGAGAAAATCGGCTTGTAGAAAACTGGTGTCCTGAGAGACACCTGCCAGGATAAGGGTTAAAAAGATATTTCAACTTAAAAATACAACAAAATTTCAGACTATAATCATGTCTTTAAATAATTAATAATATGAAAACTTTCTTCAATTATTGAAGGTTTAGTAGAGAAAATCGAAGATGTTAAGTAATAGAGACAATACTTCAACGAATCCAATTACCTCAACAATAAATCTTTCTTTTAACATAAATCAGCTCATAATAAAAGAACAAAAAATACAATCAGTCACCATGATCCCAATGAACCAGAACAAGTTAAAAATGGTAAATTGCAAATAAATGGAGGCCTACAAAACATAACAGATAACAGAAAAACCTCTAACAACCAAATTAACATGGAAAATAAAACATCTAACATCCAAATTAACACGGAAACTAAAACCTCTACCATGCGAATTAACACGGAAAATAAAACTTTAACCGAATCATTACTAAATTTGAAGAAACTTGTAGAATCATCAGACAAAACTATCCTCTTTCCTTCATTCAATTAAACGATTTTTAGAAACTACCATAACCACAAAACACTTCCAAGCCCACCAAACCTGGACTTCTATTGACCTCAGCTTAGCCTCTCGCTCATTTACTATAATTCCTCAGTCTTACTTCCACTGTGATCTTGTAGGTAGTGATTACCTACCTCTCTTCTTGCTTTCAATGCAAATTGACCCGTTCCTTTCACAGCCTATCGGGAAATGGAGGATAGACAAACGCAATCGGGAGAATTATACAAAAGCCTGTAGCGATAACTTTAGGCATTTAGAAATTTCCAAAATCTTGAAAGGTTTACCTCAGTGTCCAAATTGCTAACCTTTCGGTCCCTAAAACTAAACCACCTAAATATTTAAGAACGGTTCCTTGGTGGACACCCGAATGTTGTGCTGTTTTGACGAAACAGCATAGAGCTTTAAAAATGTTTAAAACTCGGCCTTCATTATGTAATCATACCATAAAGCTAGGGCAGAAGCGGATTATCAACCAGGACAAAATTTATTTCTTCCATCTTAACAGGACTTTCAATGAAAATAGTACGGAATAAAATAAAAATTATAAAAGGCAGACAAATTAAAAATATTCCATGCTCAACAGCTTACAATGGAAAACTCTAACCGAGCCTAAGAAAATAGCCAATGCCTTTGCACAGCATTTATCTAGTATTTCAAAAAATCCTCTAGCACTTCACGAACTTCAGTTCTCTCCTTATAAAGCTAAGTAAGCTTCATTCCCTTGATAATGAACCCTACAATTTACCCTTTACATTAGATGAACTAAAGCAAAGTATTAGTTCATCTCGTTCCAAATCAGATTCACATTGAATTTATAACTCACTTACCAACAAGAGTAACTGACCTGTTATTGACACTCCTTAACAATGTGTGGATAAATAGAGACTTTCCTAAAAGTTGGTCATCTGCAATAGTAATCCCTATACTGAAGTCCAATAAAGATCCAAAACTCATACAAAGTTATAGGCCCATCTCTCTTACGTCAGTTCTCTGCAAAATGACCGAAAAAAATAATTAACCGCCGCCTTTCAGGAGAATTAGGGACTCGGCATCTACTAGACAGCGGTCAATGTGGATTCCATTATTTTAAATCAACAATGCATAATCCTTTTAACTTTAATTCCTTTCTAAAATCTTCGTTTACTAGAAACCAGCATGCTTTCCCAGTTTTCTTGGACCTAAAAAGTGTATTTGACTCATGCTGGAGAAACAAAATTCTAAAATTCCTGCAGTCATGGT